GGATGTCATTTGAACAAGGTAATCTGGAGAAATCATAACCCCAGTTTTGTTGTCACTACCATCTCCTGTTGATGACATTTTCCACTAAATCTGCTCACCTCACAAGGAAGTATGAACACCACCACAGAAATCAGTATGAACACCACCGCACGACACAAGGGTTTACTTTCAACTATTCAGAATCATCCATACACCATTCAACACAGTACAAACGCCAACACACCACTGCTGTTGTGAACTTCAGCAGCCGAAAAACCCTACTTTCAATGCACATACGAGGTATAAACAGAGGAAAACAAGGCTGATATGCATACTAATCACTTCACACCACCACAGAAAAATATTTCAAACCAAAACACAGCATTTTCAGTCCACTACTTGGGCGAAAAAAAAACTGTTCATACCTGTCCACAAACAGCCCTCTTTGTTCCACAAAATAGAGGGCATCTAGTACACCACTTCAACGACCACCACCACAGTAACTGGAGGCATACTCACCTCCAAAACCTCCAAAACCACAAACGACCCTCTTTATTCAGTTCTAGCTTCCACTCAGGCTACAAGGAAACCAAAGAAAGATGAAATGGCTGGCAGCGAACCCAGGAAGAAGAAAGACGATGAGGAAAGAAGAAAAAAGAAGAAAAGAGAACTAGGATTTATCGGTCTCATACCATGTAAAATCCCTATTCAGTTCTAGGTTAAAGTAGAGAAGAAGAGGAAGAAGAAGAAGAGAAGAAGGAGAAGAAGGGTTCAGCCAAATGAGGAAAATCTGTCCTCTCTAGTCGACCCACTTGTATTTATCTCAAAATAAACTTGGTTACAAGAAAGACCATATTGCCCCTCATAATGATGGGACACACAACGTAAACCTGAATAAAACAGACCTTTCACTCTCAAACAGATACACCCAAATGACCAAAATACCCCTGTTCTGTGAACTCTAACAATTCTAAACTAACACAAGTCTCATAAGTGTCTAGTTTAAGGGGTAATTTCACAGAAAAATACCAATATCAACATGAAGTTGTAAAGAGACTGGGCCGAATGGGCCCTAACAGCATCTCTTGT